ATATTTTATTAAGAAATTAACACTTTTTTTTTAACTTCGCAGGCAAATTTGCCTGCTTTACAGTCTAAGGGATAATAGTCAAGTATTGTTAAAAGATCTTCTGATCAGAAAACCTGGTTATATTTCTATAGCTTAACGTCAAAGTATGTCCAGTAAAGATCAAAGAGGAATTGGAAAATAACCAGATATTATGTTTATTGCTAGTCGTAATAATAGGTCATATGAATTAATTTATGTTGATATTGAAATATTATTGATACAGGTATGTAAAACAATGTATCACTATTATATTATACGCTTTCAAGCAGTGCACAAAAAAATTTTGAAAAAATTCTGGAAATTTTCTGAAAAGACTCAAAAATTCCAGAAATTTATTTTTTATATCGGAACATATGATCAACATTAATAAACTTTATCAGAACCAATAAAATTTTGCCAAATTTTTTTAAATTTAATCGACATAGATCTATTGATAATCAATATTAATCAATTTTTTCATTATGTCTTTGTTACAATATGGGTTTAAACGTCAGAGAATTAATGATAGTTCGTCTCAAGAAAATGAGCAAAATTCTAAAAATTCTCAAGAAAATTTGAAAAATTCCAATGTAGATAAAAACATTTAAAATCAAATGGTTATCAGAATTTTCTTGGTTACATTATGATGATAAAAAAATGTTTTGTATAATTTGTGTTAAACATAAGATGAAAAATAAGTTTGTTACAGAAGGTGCAACAAATATCTCAAAAAAATCAGCAGTTAAAGAGCATGTAAAATGTAAAGATCATATTGAAGCAGAAAAATTAGAAACAACACGTATTCAAATGGAATCTTTGCAAAATCAAATTTTTTCTTCTGATGCAAATGCTAGGCATATTATTATTATAATGCGGGCTGTATATTTTTTGTCAAAAAAAGATTTACCTCTTCAGCTTTTACCTTCCATCATTGAAATAATGAAAGAATCAGGAACACCACATATATCTGATGGTTCAATTACATATACAAACGAGATTTCAGGACATGAATTTTTAATGGTAATAGCTAAAACTATTGAAGATAAAATCTGGAGTGAATTGTCCAATGCTGTAGCATTTGGAATAATGATTGAGAAAGTACAGATATTACAACAACCAAACATTTAGATGTATATTTTTCATATGTAGCTAAAAATGGAACATTCAAAACACATTTTTTATGTCTTTTACCTTTAACTGATTATGATGCAGAAAGTATTACACAGGTTTTAATTAATATTTTCAAAAAGAAGGGAATTTTATCTAAACTTGTAGCATTTGCCTCAGATGGTGCTTCAGTTATGTTAGGAAAAGATGAAGGTGTTGCAGCAAAGCTTTCAAGAGTATGTACTTATCCTTTAATTGTTAATGATTGTGTGGCTCATAAGTTGGCTTTAGCATGTAAAGATGTGAAAAATAAATTGAAATTTATAAAGAAGCTGAATTATTAGTTAAAAAAATTTATGGTTACTTTAAAAATCCATGTTCACATATTCAACAATTAAAAGAAATTCAAAATCTTTTAGATTGTTCTATTTTAAAAATAAAGAGATTATATGAGATACGTTGGCTTGCATTGTATGACGCTATTAAAAATATTTGTAATTCAATTCCTGCATTATTTAGAGTTTTTAAAGAAGCAAAGAAGAGAATTATATGTTAAATTAACATTTTGGAGAATATTGGCATTTTTATATTTTTTTATGATATTTTAGAACATGTAACATGATTAAGTAAATTTTTACAGATAAGAAATTTACGATTTTCAGATATAGATCTAATGATACAATCTACAATTAATTCTATTCAAAAAGAATACTTAATGAATGATCAATCACAAAAATTTGAATATAATCTTCAAAAATTTATCGATGAAACTAATCCATTTGGAAATAATTCAATAGAATATATGGGTTATGAACTTTCTTTTACTGAGCAAAATTATTGATGAATATATATATCTATTCAACAAGTATTATTTCTGAATTGAAACAACGATTTCCTAATAGATTATTATTTTCTTCTATGAAAATATTAAATCCGTGAAAATAGCCGAGAGACTCTGAAGATTTACTATGTTTTAGTGATAATGAATTGGAAGATTTATTAAAATATTATGAGTATCCAAATATTCATAATAATATTCAATCAACAGCACTCTTTGATGTAAATAAATGCAGGCAAGAATGGGTAGGATTTAAAATGGTTGTTATTAATAATCTTTTTTCTAAAGATATAAATATAATTCTTCCCTTATTAATTCAAGATTATAGTGATATTTTCCCAAATATTATCAAATTAATTCAATTGATCTATTGTATTTCCTTTTCAAGTGTAGAGTATGAGCGTGATTTTAGTAGACAGAATCAAATTAAAACTAAAAATAGGAATTCATTAGCTACAGATACATTAGATATGTTAATGCGTGTCTCTTTAGAAGGACCGGAAAGTTCAAAATTTGATTATGATCGTGCATATATTATTTGGAAAAGTCAGAAGAGGCGTACCAGTATTAACAAATAATAATGTTTGTATGGTTAAAATGATTATGAAATAAAGAAATATTAAATATTGAATTATTGACATTTTATTATTTAAAAAAATATAATAAAATTTCCGGCATTTATAAAATTCACCGGAAATCTGCTGTATAACGTCCGAAAAAATTCCGGATTTAAAAAATTTTACCAGATTTATCAAACATTTTTCGGAAAATCCGGCAAAATTTGAATAGATTTTGTACGCTAGGTTGGGCACCAGCCGAGGCAGTATTATTGTATTTACTAATCATTTATTGATAAAATTATTTTTTTCTTTTCCATTGTAAAACTTTTTTTTATTATTTCAAATTGATTGATGTTCATCCAATTTTTCGTTACATTGCAATCGTATTTATAAACAAAAAATATATTTAAAGCTCCTTTTACGAAAGTATGTTGTAGCACAGATGAGGTTCTATTTATCCATACTTAATGGAAAAATCTAATTTAAAATTGGCTTTTTTGCATTAATAAGCCAAAATTATATTAATTACTGACATATTATATCCCGAGAAGTTTCATTTAACAAGCTAAAAGTAGATTATTTAAATTAATTTTTAAATGAGATATTTAAAAAATAATCTAAAGTGGACATTCATTTTAACTCTATGATCTTGGTTAATTGATATTGTAATCCATTAGGAATTTATTTGGAATTAATTTAATTTTTGTGTTTTTGAAAGGAAATGCTGATACTGTACATTTTTGATTATTGTAATATGAACTATGTAAAAATTTTGATTCAATTTTTTTTTATGATGGATTTTGCAAACTAAATAAATATATATTTACTAATAACTTTTTGGATACTTTGGATCTAAGGCTTTAAAATTTATAACTTCATTTATATCAAATGAACAAGTTCCAATAAAATACTAAGCAAGATGGAATTGTAGTAGTAAATAAACCATATTTATGACCATGATTCCTATTGCTGCTTATTCCTTTATATTTGGCCAAATCACTTATCAATGATACGTAAAGATTTATTACGATCGTACTTTCCTTGTAAATTTATAGTATAATTGTTTTTAAAAAAAAATTGATAAATAAATAAAAAATAAAAATTCATTTACTTACGAACATATTTATGACGTTCATTCATCATCAACAGCTTCAAAATAGCTTTTATTTCATTTCATTTCCTTATTGTATTTAGTGCACAAGGAAGTGTTTTATATGCTCCAAAAGAACATCAGAAGCTACACCCATATATTCAGGAAATTTGTCCCTTACATTACTACCAACAGTTGGCGGTATACGAGTTCAATGTTGATTGTGACCTCCAAGTGCTAGGTGTGTATAGTCAATACCTGATATAACAAGAAATGAAATTTCAAACAATAAAAGTTAGTTAAAAATGAAAATCTTAAAATACGATAATGATCAACAATTCGATTTTTTATATATATTCTCTTTATTAAGATATCACCTAAAAAGAAAGGGATAACGTGATCCTTAACCCAACTTGAGTTTGCAATTGCACTTGTTCTACTTGAGTTAACTCGAGTCAAAAGTTATAATTTTTCTTATTCGAGATAAAGATTTATAATTCGATTTGAAGTAATTAAAATATTTTTAGAATATTAATAAATTCTAAGCTAAGTATTAATTACCAAGTATATTTTAAGCTGTTGGTTTTTAGTGTAGTGTAATTTTATCTTTCTTCCTTATAAATATAACTAAAAATAAAGAATTTTAAAAAATTTAAAAGAAATAGAATTTAAATAATATAAGTATAACTAAAATAAAACCAATTGAAAAAATAAAAATATTTTTATACCTTTTACTTCTGAAATGAAATCCTAAAAAGCAAAATGCAATAGAAAAAAAATCATAAAAATAAATATATCAGAAAATATAGGAACAAAATAATCTTTTAATCTCTACAACCTGAAATAATCAAACTTGAAAGTAAATGTACTTAAACTTCACAAATAAAATAAGACATAATACTTTTTGAACTATTTCAATACTTATTACTATTATCCTTCAGTGTGCTTTACTAAATTTGACGAGTTATGTTAATGAATTATAATAATTTTATGCTTCCGCTATCTAGAATATTTTAAAATAAAAAAAATTAATAAATTAAAAAAAGCAAATAAATGAATATTATCAGGTAAATAATTTATTAAATTCAAATGCATTATGCAATTTAAAGGGTTTAAAAATAAATAATATTAACTTCTAATGAGTATTGTCGTTGTGGGATAATGCGTGAGATTTTGTGGCTAGAGGTTGGACCGGATTTATTTTTTATATCCGGATTTATTTATTTTCAAAAATATGGAACCGGATTTAATCCGAATTTATTATATCAGGTTTCTTCGGATTCAATCCGGATTTATTATATCTGAATTTATTGTATCGATAAAGCCCTCAACTGCTTGAATTGCTAGAAGAGGTTTAGAACTTTCATAATTCTTTGCATGCAAATATTTAAATTATTTTGCTTAATGAAAAAAAAACTCTTATGCAATAAATCTGGTTATAACGATAAAAAGATAATACATTTGATTGCGTCCTTTTCTTTTCTTTAGGACACTTTTCAGGCTGCGATACATAAAATGTTTCTTTATAATTTTGTTTTATTTATTTTATCTTTTTTTTAGATGATTCGGATTGATAGATATGTTTCTTTTAATTTTATTTTTCATTAAATTTTGCTACTCATTTTTTTAGGCTATTGTATCACTGCGGGCCATAGCCATCGAAAGATCGCGCGATATGTATTTTTTATTTTTAGTTTTCAATTTTTCTATTTACCTTTATTTTACTTTTCATTTCGATCGCTTTAAGCCGTACCATTTTATATGTTTATAAAGATGCAATACTTGTGGTCGAATCAGAAGTGAAATGTGATATGAACCTGAAGAAATTATAAAGAAAATCTTCTCTCTAAGAGTACGACGATAATGAATTAGAAAAATTTAGTGTTGAATAAACATCAGCACTTGTTATGTCCACATAATTCATTATCGTAGCATTTGTAAATCAATTCAAATTTAAGTTTAGTTTATAATATAATAAATTAAAATTTACAAACGAAAAATATAATATTACTTTTGTTTCGTTGGATTTCTAAATTAAGAATTTGCTCTTAGTCGCAAACTATTAGCCAATATAAATAAATAAATTTGTTTTTGGTCAATTGTGACGCGCATTATATGACTGGTCAAAAATAACTAAATACCGGGATTTAAATAAATCCGAATATAATAAATCTGGAGGTTTAAATAAATTCGTATATAATAAATCCGGTATCTGGTTTAAAATCTAAAACGGGAAAACCGGATTTAATTCCGAAGGTAGAATTCTCTATTCGTGGCTAGCGTTTCTCAGGTACGAATCCCATAGCGTGCAAAATATTGGTGTCTCGAGTTTTATAGTTGCAACGTGACTTCCGAAGATAGTAGTCAACAGGCATTCTAATTTTTTGTATTATTTTATTTTTACCAATACTATTATTATTTACTTACTATACTTAATTTTTTATTTTTTGCTTTCGATACCATTAGTTTGAATGTTAATGGTTTTGATGACTATTCTATACATCTTAAAAATAATACTTGGCGTTTTTAAAATTAGTTCAAAGACATTCGTTTCCTTATCACCAAATTGAATAATAATAAAGGACTACAAAGGATATGAGAAGATTCTTTGAAAAATATTATATTTTCAATTAATCATATTTTCCATTGATGCCCAAGAAATGGTTATTAAACTTTCTAAAATATTTATTTCATTTGGTATTCCCTAAAGTTCACATGTCAAGTAACCAAATTAAATTATGAATATTTTTAATTAATAGCAAAGTTGGGACAATGCAATCACTTTAAATTATTATTTATTCATATTTTTGAACAAAATCCCTTTAAATTAACAGACTTCTCAAACAAGACGTGAGTTTTGAAACTATCAATCACGTTACCGGGCAAACAAAATCTACAAATATTTTATTTGGTAAAACCGATCTATATGAAGATCAAGCGGCTTTTCTGTCCAAAAAAAAAGAGAAAAGAAAAATAACAAGACGCAATCAACAGAAAATTTAGACGTCTTTAGGTTACAATAGGTTCATACGATCCAATTATATTATTACTTATTATAAGCTTAATATGACACCTTAAAGTGGTGATAAATCAGTTGATACGTAAGATGACTATAATTGCTACTGAGAAAAAAAGAGCGTTACGTTAGTTTAACTTTTTTTTCTCTTGATATTTACATCGTTACATCCTTAACTTTTTACATCTTTAACATTTAAATTTTATTTTACACTTAATACGCTACAATAATAGATGATATTATCATTTATATTGACTCACCAGAAATTTTCAATTAATATAAAAAAGGATTTAACTAATAGCATCTTAAAATAAAATTAACTGTGCCTTGCTAATATAATATGGAATTGTGTTGTGAAGAGTATTTCCAAATTAAATAAACAAGTCTAATTAATACATCATGCTTAACAAGTTTGATTTAAATATCGAGAGGTGAAAAGATGTCAGCTACAAAGAATATTTCTACTAGTTTCCTCATAACTTAATGAAAATTATATACATCCTATAATATAATTGGTGAATATCGAAACAATTTTACAAGTTGTACTACTGATAAGAGGGAACTTGTTCCTATAGATAAAATTATTTTCAAGGAGGGTTTCTTTAGTTATATTGGAAATCAAATCAAATCAATCTATGATTCCAACATAATTATGATGGAATAGCGAAACATTTACAAAAGGATTTAGTTAGATCGTGAGATCATTTTGCCAATTTGTCCACAGGCCAATTTTGTTTCGTGGCAAAATATGCCACCTTGATCTCTGGCCATTTAGTCTTCTGGACAATAATCTTTATTGTATTTCTTAAAATGTATCGTCCGATCAAATAATAAGACATCGCATTATTCCTTTCTCATTTGTAATAACTCCGAAATATATAATTAATAAGCATGCCGTATTGTATTGAGCGTCAACGTTGAGGCAATACTTAATTTATGTTGTATTTGATTAGAATTCCGATTGTTATTAATTAATAAAATATATTAAAACAACAAACACGAAACCTTCTACTGATGTTGTTTTTTATTTATGAACTGATTATTCTTAAGATCTATTCACATTTGTTGAACAAACGACTTCTTTGCTTGATTTTTGTGCACGGATACTTGAGCAAAGAAGACTCCAATCCCCCCCCAGATAAATTCTCGTAATTTGAATATGTTCTACGATGCAAAGAATATTAATCTAGCGTGCCTTAATAAAACTTTTTTATAGTAAATATAGATTAGTTAATGAGGAAACTTTTATTCTTGTTACTATGGATTGGCCAGAGGGGTCTTTAACATTATTCATCATACTATCAGACTTGCGTACTTTTGATTATTGATTACGGAATTGTCCAACCGAAATTATTTGTTCCGGATATTGGTATTGGTAAACTTAAACTTTTGATTGAGATTATATGTACTATAGTTCTTTTAATTCGAATGAAAAAGGAAATTCGAGGATGTTTACATTCTTACTACAAAACATGGACTTGGAAAAAATGATGCCGCAAATAAAGATATGTACTTAGACTGATTTGGCTTTTATTAGTTTACTTTACTTATTTTTTTTTGAGAAATGTTGGATGGGTCCTCCTTAAGTTTGTAAATATAATCCTTTGAGTATTAACGCCTAATTTATAAGTCTATTTGCTATAAATCTGGGACTCTTTTTGATTCATGCAAAAAGGAAGATTGGGAGAATGACATATTATACAGAAAATATGATAGATAACATTAGAGCTATCCTTCAAGATAATCTCTTGTTGTAAGAATAATTTCTAAATATTTGGCAAGTCAATAATTATTTCAAAAGTAGATTCTATAGTGATATTTATCATTAATTTAAATATATAGGTGCTTCATAAAATTCTGAATCTCTGATATTTGACAAAAATTAATTCGTTTACTTTCTGGTGTAACCAAAAGGAATGCTAAATAGCACTGATCGAAAAAATTAAATATCATCTAAGAGCTTATTGCAAATTAAATATTGAATAGGTGATGCCATTCGACAATATTGCAGTTACAAAGGCTGGTCAGGATCAATCAATAAATAATTCAATATGATACTACATATTATATAAATCTGCAAGAGAGGAAATAAGTGTCACACAAAATTAGGTAATATGTTCGAATAAGTGATGCTGAATTTTTTCAATACTTCTCATCAATCTATTACACAAAAAATATTCCTAAATTTAATAGCTGTCAACCTTTACAATATAGATATCCTAGTCTAATCTTTCGATTTTAGGAATTCATCATATTACATTCATTGTACGAGTAGAAACAAATATACTTTTTGACCTTCATTTTGATTAGAGAAGAACTTTCATTCTCTGAAGAATCTGATATTGGAAAAAACAAGTTGGGAAAAGAGATATTGTTATTGAGGAGGAGTAAACCAAGGAGAAATACTTGTATTCGATGGGACTTATGGATGATACTTGTGAATCAATACCAAGCTACAATCCTCATCATGATTGAGGATGAAGATTCTGTTGATAATAGATAAATGATGCAATTCACATTCCTGCATATATGCAATAATCATTCTAATACGCGCAATTGTTATTCATCATTCATTAAAAATCTGGAAATCAATATCAGGGATAATACAAAGGTTCAAACCAATGCAACATAAAATTAAATTAAAAATAGAACTGTATAATTAAATTGTAGTATTTTTATGGTTAGGTTTCAATAATTTTATCATATATTTTAGTTCAATAAATGAAATTTGTCTAGATTTTCAATATTTAATCGAAAAATAATTTAATTTAATAATTACAATGCATATTTTCTCTTTCTTCAATAACGACCACCACTTGCACCGTCTGTAAAACCAGAATTGAAGCTGAAGTTTGTGCCACCATAAAGTCTCATCAATATTAGGTTGGATAATCTTTCGAGTAATCTTTGTCTTTTCTCATATTCCTCCTTACTTGCCCTTTGGTTATTTTCAAGCCATGTAATCAATTCTTGAATTGCATCTTTAATTAGGTTATTACGTTATAACTCTTCCTATTGAATAAAGTTGACTTGGATTTAGTATTTCGATTTATAATAATAGAATGTCAAAAAAAAACACACACATCAAGTACGTTACGTAAGTTAAATGCATAAATTTCCAATCCATTTCATGCCTGTATTTCTTGTGCAGCTTTCTCATCATCTTCACGATATTTCATTTCTTCAGCAACTATTCTAACATAGAATTTGTTATAAAAATATAATCGCATAAAAATTTGTTATATAAATTTTTACATACCCATACGTATGATTTCTTCTTTTGACAGTCGACCGTTGTCATTCGTGATTGTTACCTTATACGATCTTCCAGTTGATTTATCAACAGCGGATACCTACAATTTAAATAAAGTTAATACAAATATATATCATTAATATGACAATAATAATAATTATAGTAGAATATCCAACACGTGCGTTTAATATACCGTTAGCATTAATATCAAAAATGATTTCAATTTGTAAAACACCTTTATGTGTTGGAGATATTTCAGTCAATTCGAACTTTCCAAGCAAATAAATATTCTTAATGCGAACCCTATCTCCTTCATAAACTAGAATAAGTAGTCGCAGTTGATTATCAGATAGTGTTGAAAATATTTCTGATTTCTTAGTAGGTATTGCAGTATTACGTTTAATTAACAGTGTCATGACTCCACCGGAAGTTACAACACCAAGAGAAAAAGCAGTGACATTTAAAATAAGTAATTTTTGAGTTTTTTCAGAAGTATCACCAGTTAAAATAGCAGCTTGAATGGCGGCACCATATGCTATGACTTCATCGAGGTTAACAGATTTGTTTGGTTCTTTACCATTAAAGAACTCAGATAACATCTTTTGAATTTTAGGAATGCGTGATGAATCACCAACAAGAACAATTTCATGAATTTGACTTTTATCGACTTTAGAATCTCGAAGTACTTTTTGATAGGTTCCATTGTAGACTAGAACAAGTCTTGATTCAATTGTTCAAATCTAACATGCGTTAATAAGGTATAGAAATCAATTTCTTCGAAGAGAGAATCGATTTCAATGAAAGTTTGTTGAGAAGTTGAAAGGTCACGTTTTGCGCGTTCACAAGCTGTCCTTAATCGACAGTGAGCATGTGCATTTGTTGTAAGATCTTTTTTAAATTTATGTATGAATTCTTGTATGAAATGATTTACAAGTCGGTTGTCGAAATCTTCACCGCCAAGATGTATATCTCCAGCGACGGCTTTTTCTTCAAAAATTCCTTCTTCGATAGTTAGAAGGGAATCATCTAAAGTACCACCTCCTAAATCATATATAAGTACGTTTTTTTCACCACAAGTTTTCTTATCCAAACCATAAGCAATAGCTGCTAAAGATGATGCATTATATATATGAATTACGTTTAAACCAGCAATCAAACAGACATCTTTTATAGCTTGACGTTGAGAATCATTAAAGTAAGTTGGTGACGAAATGACTGCATTAATGACTCTTGTACCAAGAAAAGCTTCTGCAGTTTCCTTCATCTTTACCAAGATCATAGAAGAAATTTCCTCAGGTGTGAAATCCTTCTTCTCGCTTTTGAAATCTACTTGAATATATGGCCTTCCATTCTTATCTATTACTTTAAATGGCCAATGCTAAAACAAAAAGAAAAGAATGAGAATGATTAATGTATTCATAACAATTGATATATTTTTTACCTTAATATCAGATTGAACTTCTTGGTCATTAATATTACGAACAATTAGTCATTTAGCGTTAAATACTGTATTATAAGGGTTCATATTAACTTGATTTTTAGCAGTATCACCGATAAGACGTCCTGTTTTGGTGAATGCGACATATGAAGGCGTCTTACGATTACCCTGGTCATTGGCAATAATTTCAACTCTATTATTCATCCAAACACCAACACAGGAATATGTCGTTCCCAAATCGATTCCAACTACATTGACAAAAAAAAGAATTTTTTTCCTTGCTAGTTTCTGTATCAAAAAGTAAAAAATTTTATTTACCAGCATTTTTTTCCATTATACTATAGTATATACAGTAAGGTCTTGTTTCAATTTATTAATTATAAATAGATAGAAAAAAAAGTGTTCGTTCAAACATGCAAAAGGAAAAAATATCACGAACAATATAATATTTTGTGAAACTCAAATTGCAGATTAGGACTGTTGTAGTCCAAAATCAGGGGCGATGATTTTGCTGCAATAAATATGCATTTTAATGCGTAGCAGTAATTCGGTCTGAATCTGTAATTCCCAGTCCGAATTACAAATATATTAATAACGTGATTGTAAAATGGTATATAAGAAAAAATTTTTATATTTCTATATCAAAAAAGGAAATGAATAGTACATTTATGCAAATTATGCTTTTCATATCATATTCTGCAGTTTCTACGGTTTTATGAAATTTGCATAAAATCATCGTTACTTGGTCCAAATGCGTTAGCATCTGAATTATGTATCGAATATAAATGGCATTTTTACTGTAAATACCAATTTTCTCTCAGAAGATATTCATAAAAAATTTAGACACTTTGAACATATTGGCACCTTAAAGTAATTAATAGAAGTGTTAATAATAAAAAGATATATTTTTCTAATGAACATACTTTGCTTATAACTGTATAAGCTTTAAATTATATTCCTTTTATTTAGGAAAATATAATATACAGTAAATAGTTTTAAGAGAAACCATTTTCTTGATTCTGTTTCGTCCAGTGAACTTTCAGTTTAGCTGAAACATCTAATTTGGAAACACTTTATAGATCAAGTTGGGCGAAATTAGTTTCGCCCGAAATATTAATATGTTTCTAAAGGATAATTGTATTCGCTGCATGAAAATGAAATGCATAATTTATTTTACTTTCCAATACTTTCGTAAAGTGCAATAAAAATATATTTACCTAGCTAACAGTTAGTTTTTTTATTTTTTTTTTTTTTTTGAAAAAAAAATCGCAACTTCCAATTTCAGATGCTTAGAAAACTTTATCATTCGAAACTGAAGTTTTACCAACAAATGCAGATATACAGTATTCACGTTTGAAAGTAATTATTAGCTCATAGATGATATTTATTTCTTTTTACCAATAAAATTTAAAATTAATAACTAGAAGTTGCGATATGCAAGGGACTTCGTCTTCCATTAAGCGTTGGATTAAATATCTTATGTTAATTAAATAAATTTATATTATAATCAATAATATTTGTATATAAATAAATAGTTTATTATATTTGCAAAGTAATTTAATGAATTTTCAAATAAGAGAGTTTTTTAATAAACATTTTATTAGATTAATATTTTATCAAAAAAAAAATAATTATTTAAATATTTACTATATTCATAAAGGTAAGGAAGTATTTGATTTTTTCTAATCGTTCATATTCTTTAAGAATTAATTTATCTGTAATAAATGCTGAAGGATGTAATGAAGACATGTGCACTTTTGACCAATTAGAGAATCTGCTTCTTTGTAAAAAAAATTAGGTTGAATTATTCCATGTTTTATATTCTGTCTTTTTTCTATTTATATAAATCCGAGTTTTTTCCATTTATATTAATATATATAAGGCTACGTGATTTTTCAGTAAATGTAGCATATTTCTGGAATTTTATTATCAAAATATGGAAATTATTTAATCACACTGAAAACATCGAACATTTAGTTGCCAAATATAAATTATTAAATAGTTTCGTCTTACTTAAAAATTCTGGATCTAATATGGTAATAATACCAATATTTTTCAAATACAAGATATAATTAAGCAAATGAAACTACAGAGTTTTCACTGAAATAAGCCAGTATAAAAATCTACCATTTCCTTAGTATCCAAATATTAAGTTATAATTAAGGCCAATGAAATCATGGAGTTTTTACTAAAGTAAACCGTATAAAAGTTTACTTTTTTCTAAAATAAAAATGATTTATTAATTTTCTCAATTCTTACCAGTTTTAGTTCTCTTACTAAGTCTTGTTTGACGTAAAGTATTCTTTATCTTTAGTTTTACTTGCTTTTTTTTACCTTATAAAACAGAAAATAATAAGTATAATTATAATGGTATAAATTTAAGAATAATATATTAGCAATATTATATATACCTTAAGAGGTGTCAATAGTTTCGATGACAGTATTAGTGGAATCTAAAACATCAGTCGCAGTCGTGATAAGGGATGTAATTGCTATTATCATGTATTGAAAGTAAGTAATGTAAAGTTTTGTAATAAAAAACAAAACAATATTAAAAATACAATCATACTTTCTGAATCTTGTACATTATCGGTTACTTCATTAAGAATGTTTTTTATGTCTTTTAATTTATGCCTTTGTGATAGAGGTCGAGAATTCTTTGGTAGTAAGTCTCAAAAAGTATTAACGATTTCAGTAGTATTAATGGAGCCTGAAGCATCTATTATAATTGTAATAAAAGATATATCGAAATCAAATATGTTATTAATAAAAACAAAATATTAAAAATAAATTATACTTTTGTAATCCTGTACATAATCAGCTACTTCTTTTAATTTACGCTTTTGTGATAAAGGTTGAGGATTCTTCTTTGGTAATAAGTCTTGAAAAGTGTTAACAGTCTTGGTAGTATTAGTGGATTCTGAAGCATCTATTGTAGTTGTAGTTGATGATAAGATGATTTTTATATATTGAAAGCAAGTAAAGTTATTAATAAAAACTAAAACAATATTAAAAAATACAATAATACCTTCAGAAACTTGTATTTTATTAGCTACTTCATTAAGAATATTCTTTACATCTTCTATTTTATATTTTCGTGATGAAAGTCAAGTATTTTTCTTTGGTGATGATAATGCAAGGCCTCGTTTCTTTGCTTTATTGATTTTTTCTTTTTTGCTTGATTAACTATCATTGATATAAATTTAGAATATAATTAAACCATTATTAAAAAACTGCCGAAAAAATACTTACCTATACTATTGCAATATGAAGTGAGCCAATTGTGAAGAATAAAATTGGCTCAGAGAATAGAAATGTTAGATTTGCTACTTTAAGCTTTATAATAAATAAATATTAGTTTTTTATATCTTTTTGTAAATATAAATTCTGAATACTCTTACATCTTTGATAACTTCTTCTGCTTTACCCTTTGGCTAATGGGAAAGAGATTCACCTCATAAAAAATGGAATGCTACGCAGTTTCATAGATCATTATGTAATATAATAAAATGTAAAATTAATAAACTATATAATATAACAAATATAAACATTTACCCTGAAATTCAAGTATTGGCTTTTATCAAGTTGTAGAAAATCATCCTATTGAAACTCTTTATTGATTTCCTTTTGATTTTTTTTTATAATCATTGTAATCTTTAAGCTTGAGCAGATTCATCATAGACCCTAATGGAAACTATAATATAAATAGTATTAGTTAAGTAATAAATATTTACAAAAAATAAAAAACTTACTTGTATCACATATGGTATTACGCGCATCTGAAAGTGATCCTATAAAAGAAGAATCAACAGCAATTAATACAGCGTATAAGCGATGACATTGTTCAGGGCTTAGTAAATCAGGTATGAATAGATCAGCATCGAATAATGCTGCAAAAAGACGATAACGCTATTCAGATGCAAATTTAGAAATATCAATTGAAACGTTGTCTTTTTTCATTTGAAATTCAAAGATTTTTGAGAATAATATTTTAATAAATAAAAGAAAGAATAAGCAAAAAAAAAAGTGTGATTGATTGCAAAAAAAAGTATATTTATATCAAATTATGAAAGTTTGATTTTGCAAGATTTTATGGTATAGCAATAAGATTATTATAAAAAGTTTACGTCATTTATATATTTATATTATCTATTAGTATAAACTTTGCTTTTTTATACTCATTTATTATTGACTTTAATCAATACCTTATTAATGCATCAATTGATCTTAATTAATCTTACGATATAAACTTTGCTTTTTTTATTCACTTATTATTGATTTCAATCAATACCTTATTAATGCATCCATTGATTTTAATTGATTTTACGATTTATTATTCACATAAATTTTACAAAAAATAAAAATATTAAATATATTTCACAAATTTATTATTTTCATTTTACAAAAACAAAAATATTTCATTGGTTTTTATATCAAAAGTTCTAATAATTCTAGACAATTAAGTAATTTATTAATATATATATAATAATTTCTTATGATGATTAAAACGGTTTTATGTACTTGTATTTGGTGCTTACAAGAATCAAGTGATAAAAGTAAACTAGTTAATTAGTCAACATGTGCAAGAAATATAAAAAAGCAGAAAAAATATTGGTCTAATCTAAATAATATGCCTGTATTACAATGATGACTAGATACTTCTATTTCTCATATTCCAATAGCATCATCATCTACTACCATTATGAATCCATTATCTACATCTTCGTTATCATTATACGCTAATGTTTCAATATCACGTCAAGCAAATCAAAATAATGGAAATCAGGATTATAATAATAAAAATGTTATAAGTGAAAAAACAGTAATACGAAGTCATATGATGTCTGATAAAAAAGATCAACTCAAAATATTAGAGGATGAAGAAGAAGGTGGTGAAGGTAATCAAAGTAGTTATATAATATCTGATGAACTATTTAATGAAGATCAACTCGAAGTATTGAAGGATAAATAGAAAGATAATGAAGGCAGTCAAGACAGTCATATAATATACGATAAACTATTTAATAATGATCAATTTGAGGTATTGGAAGAAGATAATGATGATGATAATGAAGATAGTCATATAATATTTGATGAAATCTTTAATGAATATCAATTTGAGGTATTAGAGAATGATGATGATGATGATGAGAATAATGAAGAAATTAATAAGGAAGAGAAGAATCATGAATATAATGATAAAATTTCAGAAGATTTAATTAAAGGTTTACGTCTTCTCCAAATTAAGGATAGACATAACGTCTCATATGCTTCATTTAACAAAATCCTTAAAGTTTTAGAATATCCTAAATCATCTATTCACAAACTTAGAAAGTTTCTTGGAAAAATTATCCCATTGGAATCGATTCTTATAGATTGTTGTATGTGTAGCATTTACTAGAAAGCTTTCTAATAAGAACTAATGTGCAGAATGCAAAGAAAATCATTACAAATCTAATTTGATTGTAAGAAAATGTGCTGCATACTGGTCACATGTCAATTCACTTCAAGAATAATATAAAGATAAAGACCGTACTAATACTCTTCTTTACCGATATAATTATACATCAACAGATAAATATAATTCTAGTAATTATATAGGTGATATATTCAATGGTATTCGTTACAAAACTTTAGTTTCTTTAGGATTTTTTTCAAACTATTGGGATATTGCTTTGATAGCATCTACAGCTGCGTATCAAATATTTCATCAGAAACGAGATGACTGCTGGATTGTTCTTTTAATAAATGCAAACTTACCACCTTCTATATGTGTTTAACGTGAAAATTAAATGATTTCTGTGCTTATTTCAGAACCAAAAGCTCCAAAGAATTTTAATTCTTTTATTCGACCACTTGTTGATGAGTTAAAGCAAGTTCAAAGTAATATTACTATTAATTTATTTATTTATTTACTATATATATTATATGTTTATTTATTATTATAAATATACAAGGTATTCAATACTTTGATAGCATAACTGAAAGTACATTTACTCTCAGTGCATACATTCTAAGTTGGTTTGATAATATCTCTGCACTTGCTAAATTTATATGTATAACTGGACATAATTCATATAAGGCTTGTCGATTTTGCTCAATTCGTGAAGTAATTCATCAAGGAAATCGTCATGTTTACTTTCCATTCAAGCTTCTAACTAGTGTTTCAGATATTCAGTATGATCCCAAAAACCTTCCATTACGAATACATAAAAATTATATACAAGATGTTATAGCCATAGAAAATAAGAATGAATCATTACGTAAACATGAAATGCAAGTGAGAGATGAGTTAATAGTATCGAAAATAACATTAAAAAATAACTATTAAATTAAAATTTTAATAATTTATCTGTTTCTTTAGGTATAAATGGTCGAAGCATATTGTTTGAACTCAAATCTATTGAGTTTCCAACATCATTTCCTATTGGCATCATGCATGGATTATTTGAAAATATTATATCAGCAATGATTCGATATTGGTCTAGTACTTTCTTTAAAAAAGATCAAGATTCTAATACAGAATATGTTCTTCCTAATAGTGCATGGGTAGAAATCGGAAAATAATGGAAAAAATCGAAAAAATATGCCAATGGATTTTGGCCGTCCACTTATCGATATTCGGAAACACTCAGCTTCATTTAAGGCAGAAGACTGATCAAATTGGGTGATATTATACTCGATTTCACTATTACAAAATTATCTTCCAGAAAGATATGTTTATAAAATGTTAAATAATCACTATTTTATTGAATTATATCTTAACATTTCTGGAATAATTTAGGATTTTAAATGGATAGGCAAAATTCTTGCACACAATTAAGCTCTGTTTCGAGCAAAATATCAATACATTAGAGCTAACACAAATTGGTCAACTATTCTGTGATTTTGTTACACATTATGAAAGGTATGTTTTTATAAAACAAATCCTTATTATAATATTTTTTTACTTAGATTAAATTATTCTATTTTACCAGAGAATATCTTCAGAATAATCCTAGTCGTCTCTTGGCAATACTTATTTCTTATCATTATTTGCTACACATCTCCGCTTCTATTCGCAATACAGGACCTGCATGGGCAACTAAGCAATATCTGATGAAGAGGTTATGTGAAATACTATTACCTCTAATGCGCTCTAAACAGCATCTTTATACAAATCTTCAGAAATAAATTACCATATAGACTCATTTCGCGCATCTTTAGCACAAGACTGAATTAAATCATATGATTTTTAGAAAAGAATCAGAGAAATTATCAAATTATTCTGAAAGCTGCATTTTGCAATTGAGGGTATTGAAGAAAAGTTATACTTACCATCATGCAAATATTGCATGAATAGGACTGAAACACAATGTCTCAGAACTTATTATATGATAGCATTAAATAAAAGGGCAAATCAGCTTATGTAAGTTTTTTATTTTGTCTTGATTCAGATATTTCTAATTTTCTAACACTTTTTAAAGTTATTTACAGATTTCATACATAAGTATGAAAAACTCCGTATAAAAAATGGATTGATAGTTAATTCAAAACTATCAAATCGCAAGAGTGATGTTGCTCGTACGAATTTTTGCATTACTGTATATATATCTTTAATACCATGATTTTTCCAAGAATTTACTATTTAATACTAGCTTTTTAGGCCAAACTCATGGTTAATTGAAATACTCATCATGAAAATGCACTAATTATCATGGAAGAACATGAATTTTTTGGAGAGGTTCAATATTTTTTATCACACCAATACAACGACAACTGGTCTATGCTAGCATATATACAATGGGTTCAAAATCCCTAGCCTTTTAGGCATGGTCCATTGAAATTTCAGGATTTTGGTGCATTTGAAGTAATTAATATTAATGCAATTTGTAGAAGTGTTAGATTTCTTAAAATGCCAAACAATGAAAATTATATCATCAATCGATAAAACCAGATTAGATTCCGATAATTTTCATTATTACATTTGTGTACATTTTTATTATATTTATTATAATTCATGTTAAAATAACATTTCGTTTTTAATTGTGAAATTATCAGTAATTTGATAGGTCCGTTTGAATTCTGTTTTCTAGGCTTATTATTCCATTTTTCTTTCTATAAATAACATTATAAAAAACAGATCGATTATTCCATTTTTATTTGTGAAATTTTCAGTGATTTAATAGGTTTATTTAGATTCCGTTTTTCTATAAATGATATTGTGGAAAAATTACGGACTGCTTACTCAACCAGTTGAGATACACTGAACATTAATGAATTCATAAGTACAATTATAGATATAAAATGGAAATATTCTGGAATGCATTTTTTATAGGGCTTAATGCAACATAAGCTTGACCAGCAGAAAAAAATTTTTAATTGTCACTATTACAGTGATGGCAAGTGACCTGAAATGATCCAAATGACTTTGATGACTGATCACTAGTCATTAAGTCACTTTAAAAGCTAAATGACCTATGACTTAGATCATTTTATAATATTTTGTAAATGTTAAAAGAAAATACTTCAAAAACTAAATAAAATATTATTTTTTATAAGTATGTAAATAAAATTAACTAATGAAATTTTAAATGTTTCTGAATTTACTTACAAAATTAAAATTTAATTCAGATGTCCAGATCATTTTTAAGTATCACAGATTTGTGAAATTTATCTGTGAATGATTCACTGTCATTTAGAATACAAGTCATTTGCAAATGACTCATGATTTAATGACTAAAGTCATTTTGACATGACTTCTGACCATTTTAAAATTAGTTAAATAACCTGGTCATTTGCTGTCACTGCACTATTATGACTCATTGGCATTAGTCTTCAAGGAATTTAGTGTGAAACAGAAAAAAACATGTTGTTTTTTTTCAATTCCTTTGGAATTATGTTTTTAAATTCCAATGTACCAAAATAAATTAGAAAAGGTTTCCTATTATACATGGTCCCATGTTTTGCTTAACAACCTTGCATTTTCTAAATTTATAACTTATAATAGACCCCAAATTAATTTAGTTAATACTTCGTATACACTTTGCACTTCCCTTTCGTTTATAAAAAAATTTATTTCTTATTCTCACACTTCACGATTTTTAGAATTACAAGATCAATTTTGTTTCTCTAATTATTTAGAATTTTTTACTGACAGTTTTTTAGTCAATTTAAGTACTTCATCTGTGAGAATAGGACTGGCTTAGATCCAAACCACATCTGTTTTTCCTTTGCTTTCTTATGTGACAGCTTTTATATCATCTTTCTCATATTTATTAATAGCTAAACTCATTGCCATCTTCACAGCCATATTGGTTGCTTTCAAATACTGTCATATTAAGATATTTATAGATTCACTTATGGTGATCTTACAATTTAACCAGTATAAATTACTTTCAGACATTTTACTATCACAAAGGCTTTTTTCAAAATCTGTAACCTATATATCTGATGTTGTCTATTCAAAGTTATTAATACCCACTCACTGAAATTAACTATGCATAAAGTCAAAGCTTACTCAAGAATATCAGCTAATGAAAAAGTAGATGCAATGGCAAAATCTGCACTAAGTTTACAAGCGTTACATCTCATATCATCTAATCCTTCCTATCTGACACTTTATCTTCAGCAATTGGCAATAGCTATACTCATCAGACCACTACTTAAAGATATCTTTCGTGCTAATCATCTAGTTTTCTTTCTGAACCTTGACATAAATATCAAATATATCAACCTAGATATTAATTAGGCTGCTACTGCATTTTACATCTTGGACAATGCAGCTCTTTCTACAAACTTCTTTTAAATATCCACTATCAAGAAACAGAAACTTCAACAATTTCTTGAAATGCTCCTCACAATGATGGTTCTGAAAAAGTAACACCTCATAATTTTTGATAACTCTTGGCTTTGATGTAAACCCCATGTTCTGAAAAATCTTAGATATTTAGTCTTTATCATCATTAACTACCTTTAATTTTGTGGACTTGATCAAAGGTCTTGTTTTAACTAGGGTTCCTCAAAATCAAATCGAATCAAATATTTAAGCAATTTGAATTTGATTTGATTTTTTCAAATCGAATCAAATCAAATCGAATTGAACTCAAATATTTGATCGAATCAATTTGAATCAATTTGAATTTGATCGAAT